TTCAGAATACCACAATCATTACTTACAAAAGGAGGTACAGGAACTCAAATTCCAAGTATCTGATTTGCAAAAACGTCATCAGTATACTTTAAAGATATTCTTTGTCCAAAACCTAACTAATTTAATAGTTTAATGTATTATTTTTTTAATGTGTATGTATTATTATTTTAATACGCAAAGAAATTTTTTATTGTGTGTAACAATAAAAATAGGGTGCGTAGATCTTTTTAAATTTGCGCAAATTATTCTAAAGAAAGTATCTGGCCTACGATTCTTCATTTTTTTATTAAACAAACAGGGTCTAATACTTTCACCAATTATAGTCTATATCTTATAGATTGATGTTATATAAAAAACTCGAATTTGGTCAGAGGACCTCGGAACCGGTTTTTGCTAGAGAACCCCCATATGGTAATGGGCATTAACCTTTTTATTCTAGCTTTGAGTTGCTTGGCAAATAGTATGGCATTGATATCTTCTTTAGCTAAATGGGATGGAACTGTTTTTTTCTTGGAAGACTTTGCCGAATCATCTTTGTCAGATTTTTTTGATGGCATTGTTGTACATGAAAATGAAATTATGTGAATTTCAAATTTACATGCGTGAAATTCAAATTAGCCAATCAGAATTTCACCTCACTCCATAATATTTCAATTTCACATACAACAGCATCTTGAACAAAAAATTATATCTTACAAGAAAAAAAAATATACAATATTTATTATAAATTATGAATATGAAACACGTTTAACACCACTGGAAATTCTAGAAAATATCCTTGCCATCTCTCTTTCTGGGTTGACGTCAAAAAAAAAGCTTAATCATTTTTATACAACAATACATACCTCTTATTTACTCGTAAAAACAAGAGAAGATTAAGACGCATTTCAGATAAGAAATATTTATAATAACATTGAAATAATTGTATACTATTATTTTTAGAATGTAAATGATGGCCCATCAAAATCCGGATCAAGATTGCAATTAACTTTTTGTGTTCCTACTTTAGCCTAGACTATTTTATCTTCCGTAAATGTATCAGTGGTCAAGGAAATAAAAAATATAAATGGTTTATCATGCGTTTTTTCAGATTCTACCATATTACATAATGCATTAGATTCAACAAAATTGAATTACAATATTTTTTATATAAATAAGCTTTTTAATATATCTTGCAAATAGTATAAAACAATGACAAACATGCAATCTACAATCAATTCATTGAGGGAATTAAATTCCAAACTCGTAGCAAAGATTTATGAACTTAGAAAAGAGAATGATGATATTAAGGCCGAAACTATCGAGGTTAAAGCCAATATTGCAAAATTATATGATGATATTAAGGAAATCAAACAATCTTCGGCTAGGAATTCGAAAGAAAGGTCAGCTCAAAAAAACAAAATTAATTATCAAAAGGCAAGTACAGAGATATTTAATCAAATGATTTTAGCACGTCCAGAATTAAAGATAGAGGATTTGCGTGAGACGACTGAAAAGGCTAGAAAAATTTATACATTGTTTAATGGAATTGGGATAGATAAAATCGGATTCTTTTCTGAATGTAGTATTGATGATATTTCTAGTTTAACAGATGCTCAAATACAAGATATAATAATATATTATACTGATAAACTTGCTATTCTCAAAAATTTTAGATAAGCATTACAGTTGATATTTCGTATCATGTAAGTAATGAATTATAAAACTAGCACCCAAAAAAGGCGTAAAAATATTTTATTAAATATATATATAAAAAACGTATATATTATTCTCTCTTAATGCTACCACCGCCTGCATCTTCTTGGAAGGTTCCCGGTTTAGCACTAATGTATTCTAAGTTTAATCGTAATCCTCCTGTTGTCTGAATTTCTAGTTGTCCCGGATTATTAATGATATTATCAAGAGGTATTCTTTCGTTATTGACCAATAGATACGAATCCTTTTTTTGAACTTTCCTATGATCATACAGAGCGATGAAAATGAGTTATATACTATATAGAAAAACAAAAATCGTTTCCTTCCAAACCAATTAGAGAAATCATGCAACTTACAACATAGTAGGTTCTCCTTGACTTAGTGATCCATCGTCAAATCTTTTACCGCCCCCATTATGAACAGCGAGATAAATGTTATCAAGTCCCACTATGTAAAAAAGTATTATTGTTTTATAGGATTATGTCCATGCATTCCATACATTATTAAAGTCAATAGAAGAATTTATTTACCGAATTTAACTGAAAGTGTTCCTTCCATTGTAATTGTAGACTTTTTTCCGTTAAAAAATATAAGGGTGAAATCCACCTCATAAATCCGCCTTATTTGTAGTTTCATTTGTTACCTGAGAACCTGCTAGAAGAAAAAATTACATGATTGGTAATTACGTTACCCCAACCATTTTCCAGATCCTTTCTTCACAAGGCAATTCTATTAGAATCACAAGGACCAAGCACTAAATATATTTCGTCATTCTGGGGAATTTAAACCCTTTAGCCTGACGATCTCTCATTCAAAGTGTAAAATAAGACAAATTTCGACGATCTTCGGAGATTGTAAAGATCTCA